AGGGATGATAAACGCGGCTCCAGTTAACCTCGGAGCGGAGCGTTCAGTCCATCAGCGCCACAGTCATGGAAAAGGATGCCGTAGTGACTATAAATAGTGAGTACATATCGAAGGGCTTAGTTACTATAAATAGTGAGTAAATATCTAAAGGGCCTTAGTTACTATAAATAGTGAGTAAATATCTAGAGGACTTAGTTACTATAAATAGTGAGTAAATATCTAAAAGGACTTAGTTACTATAAATAGTGAGTAAATATCTAAAGGACTTAGTTACTATAAATAGTGAGTAAATATCTAAAGGACTTAGTTACTATAAATAGTGAGTAAATATCTAAAGGACTTAGTTACTATAAATAGTGAGTAAATATCGAAAGGACTTAGTTACTATAAATAGTGAGTAAATATCTAAAGGACTTAGTTACTATAAATAGTGAGTAAATATGTGAAGGACTTAGTTACTATAAATAGTGAGTAAATATCTAAAGGACTTAGTTACTATAAATAGTGAGTAAATATCTAAAGGACTTAGTTACTATAAATAGTGAGTAAATATCGAAAGGACTTAGTTACTATAAATAGTGAGTAAATATCTAAAGGACTTAGTTACTATAAATAGTGAGTAAATATCGAAATGACTTAGTTACTATAAATAGTGAGTAAATATCTAAAGGACTAAGTTACTATAAATAGTGAGTAAATATCTAAAGGACTTAGTTACTATAAATAGTGAGTAAATATGTGAAGGACTTAGTTACTATAAATAGTGAGTAAATATCTAAAGGACTTAGTTACTATAAATAGTGAGTAAATATCTAAAGGACTTAGTTACTATAAATAGTGAGTAAATATCTAAAGGACTTAGTTACTATAAATAGTGAGTAAATATCTAAAGGACTTAGTTACTATAAATAGTGAGTAAATATCTAAAGGACTTAGTTACTATAAATAGTGAGTAAATATCTAAAGGACTTAGTTACTATAAATAGTGAGTAAATATCTAAAGGACTTAGTTACTATAAATAGTGAGTAAATATCTAAAGGACTTAGTTACTATAAATAGTGAGTAAATATCTAAAGGACTTAGTTACTATAAATAGTGAGTAAATATCTAAAGGACTTAGTTACTATAAATAGTGAGTAAATATGTGAAGGACTTAGTTACTATAAATAGTGAGTAAATATCTAAAGGACTTAGTTACTATAAATAGTGAGTAAATATGTGCACTTTTCAGCGTGTAGTATCTGGTTATAAACATGAATATTCTAAGTACATGATTTGTTAGTGCCCCCCCACCCCCCCTCCCCCCCCTCCTACCTGGAACACGGGCTTCTGCGTCCCGTCCCCCGCCCCGTGTCGGCTGTAGATGTGCCGGGACATCTCGGCCAGCTCGTCGGTCCAGGGCGGGGGCGGCCGCTCGGTTCCGCCGCTCCACCGGGCCGCCGGTTCCAGTTTGGTTCTAGTGCCGCTTCACGGGGAG